GCTCTTCCTGCCGGGCGTGCGCGCTGGGAGGGGCGCGCCGAGCTTCGGCCGGGCTGCCTTTCAGCACCTGAGCTGTGGACAGCGACCTGCCGGCGCCGCAGGGGACTGGGGAGAGCGGGCGGCCTGCCCTTCGCTCAGTCGACTCCGCCGGCCGGCAGCATCGTAGCAGGCAAGCCGCTTTCGGGGGATCCTAGAGATGCCCGGGGGGGGGGGAAGTCTCCCCCTGAGCCCGACCTCTTCCCAAGGCAAAGCCCCTCTCCCTGGCCGGGAAACCAGCCAGCGTCGTTTGTGGCGCGTTTGGTGCGGCCCTGACACAGTGGTAACTCGGGGCCCCGGTGGAAAGCTGGAAACCACGGCTCGGAACGGGCGGCTGAATGTTAGGGAGGCAAACGCAACTGTCGATTTCTCTCCCCTCTCGGAGAGAGGGGAGTGGGGGAGAGAAAAGTCTACCGAGCTGCTTTATCTAGAAAGGCCCACCTGGTCTCCAAGGCTCCAGGAGATAATGAACGAGAATCGCCACCCATTTAAAATGGATACCACCAGCCTTGAAAAATATAGGTTATCAAAACACCCACAGCAGCGTGTCAGTTTCAGACGTGCCAGAAAAAGTCTGCTGGAAGGAAAAGAGCTCTCAGCTCCTCTTTTAGGTAGCCAGGAGATGCGGGGGGAGGGGGGGCTTGCACAGCTGCGTCAGAGTCCTTGGAAGGCTTCTCCAGAAGGGCTGGTGGCCATAATCGATGATGCTGAGTCACGCTTGCCATGCCTTCTTTCCCCCTTCGGCTTTGTATTAAGATTAAGGCTCCCTGCAGTGCCCTCCTCTCCCTACAGAAGCGCCAGAAATGTCTTTTTCAGGGATCCTTTCCCTCACCTTCCCCTGCCAACATCTTCAGGGTCCTGCATTTCAAAGAGAACTTTATAGTTGGGGGGTGGGAAAAGAAATGAATGAAATAAACAGTACCAACAGGACATAAATGTTGGCGGACTTGGCCATTCACCTCCCTGAATTACAGGCAGGCTCCACAATCGCTGCGCTCCAGAACTTCTAAAATCACAAGCTTCAAAGTATTAATAATGGATCATAATGTTTCGGTAATAAATGGATGCAGATTTGGAAACTAGGGAATAACAGGCACTTATCCATGCTTGCCCAGTTTGTTTTCTATGAAGCTTGGATCTGTCACCCACAGTCTACAAATCAAAATGCTGTAACCATCAGATACAGAAAGACAACTGCCCACCCCCAACCTGTGCTCTGGTCCACACATATCTTGAGCCCCACTGGCTTCCTCCTCCAATTTCTCCTTCTGTTTGAGTCTGTAGGGAGCCAATCCTTCTCTCAGAGTCTGTGAGCCAGCCCTTAAAATGTGTGCATTTCTACAATGAATAGCCTAGGTAAGGAATAGTTTCATGTTTTTCTTTTGTTCAATAGGTCCTGTATGTTTGTTTGCCCAGATTTCCAGTTTATTCTCAATAAAACAGTCCATCCAGTGCAACGCTTGCTGGATTAACTCAGGCTAGGCCTAATGCAGACATTCAGTAAAATACAGTCAACAGATGTACACATTCCAAATGCAAACGTTTACATCATAAAAGGATGAAACTAATACATTTTTAAAGTTAAGTAAAATACCAATACTGCTAAAGAAGACTCTTGAGAGTCCCTTGGACTGCAAGGAGATCGAATCAGTCAATCCTAAAAGAAATCAACCCTGACTGTTCCCTGGGAGGCCAGATACTGAAGCCGAAGCTCAAATACTTTGGCCACCAAATGAAAAGGGAGAAGACCCTGATACTGGGAAAGATTGGAGGTAAAAGAAAAAGGGGATGGCAAAGGGTGAGATGGTCAGATAGTGTTATCGATGCAATGAACATGAAGTTGAGCAAACTCCGGAGGGCCTGGCGTGATGTGGTCCATGGGGTCGCAAAGAGTTGGACTCAACTGTGTGACTGAACAACAGCAACAAAATACCAGTAAACCCACTGTCAAAATTAGATCAGACCTCTGAACCCACTTGGCATACTTTCAAGACATGGTCACGACATTTTAGTGCCCATGAGATGAATTCTGCCCAGGAGTCTGCCCAGGTTCTTACTGGGGTTGTAAAATCAGTGTCTGGCCTCTTCCACTTCAGGCTGTAGGCTGAGGTTCACACGAGTCCTCTTCCATGCAAAAAATCCCCTCCACCCAGAAACCGGCAGGTCAGACTATCCCTTGACACCTACTTTTCTACATAAAGGGAATTAATTTTCTTCATTTTACGAAGAAATATTCATTGATGTTAGCCTCAATTTGCAGTCTGAGTTGGTACAGCCCAGACAGAGGTTTACCACCTTAGTAAGAACTAAGCCTGCAACATACACATACAGTTATTTTCTTCTCAGCCAGTTAGCGTCATGCTCTAGACTTGAACAGCATTTTCAAAATCAAGATTGAGAAACAAGGGCAATAAAAAAAAACCCTCCTGAACAATTCAAGCCTTCCCATGCATGGAATTTCACTGCAGAGTTAATCTTCTAAAGCTTTCTGTTCTTTCCTTTTCTAAATATATCTCCAAGCCCCTCCTGAACTCATGGGTGTTTCATGTTTGGGTCCAGCCTCAGCCATTTCGTTTCATGGTTCAGATCTCTTTTATGCCTGACTTTCTTGGCTACATATTCTTCCCTTGTTTGAAGCTCGGTGTATTTTTTTAGGTATGGCCTTCCCAAACTGATCATTGGGTTTAATCTATCACTGCATCCAGGTTATCTTAACGTAAATCTGATCTCATCTGTTATGTAAATCCCATTCACCCAAACTTTGCTTGTTGCACTCAATATATCAGGAGCCAGAATTCTTCAGAGATGTGAGGCCTTGAAAAGCTGCCAAACAACCAATGAGAAAGCAGTATAAATCTTGTCTGGTTAGGGCTTGTCTTTAAATGGGTCATTTCTGTTGCTGCAGGAATTAGTAAGCAAAACAGCCCTTGTCCAAAAATCACCCTTCCTGTCCAGTGTGTACTTGCTGGATGAGATTTGTATTTAGGGTGACCTTGCAGGCTAAGGCTGCAGTGGGAGGTCAATGGGTCTCCATGTCAGCTGCCCAAACTGTGTGCAGAATGGCAGCCTTATAAAAGACCATGTGGCTATGTAGTCCGACCAGCTAGATTAAATGCCTAGCCCAATTCCCACTAGCTTGTGCCTGGGATGTATTACCTTAAACTGCAGACTGGGAGCCACATGATTGAATTCTCAAAGAAAATCCTTTCTTTTATCATGTATGTTTTAAATTGTTAGCCCTTGTGAGGGCAGAAAGGCAGGATACACATTTTGTAAAGAAAGAAACAAATGTATTCTCATTTTCTGGCTATGTTGGGGCCAAAATGTGGACAAGCGAACAGAAGCTGAATTTAAAGACAAAGCTAATGATGGTTAGTGGGGGGGGGGCACTCAATGAAGAGGAGTTTCAACCTCACAAAGTCACACAGCTATGGAGGGTTCTTGGAATCAACATCACAGTGGAAAGGGGGCTGCCTAAGTCAACAGCTCATACTGCACTTGGTGGATCATCAGAAATGTCTTAATGCTCTTTCTAATATTAATTTGAGGCTATAAACCTTATTTATTTAGTACATTTTTATTCCATCCTTCCTCTATGGAGCTCAAGGTAGTGTGCATTGTTCTCCCCTCCTGCACTTTATCTTTATAACAATCCTGTCAAGCAGTGTTCCCTCTAAGCTGAGTTAGTGTGAGCTAGCTCACAGGTTTTTAGCCTGCAGCTCATACATTTTTGTTTTGGCTCAGGAAGGGAGGGCTCCAGAGGAAACTAATTTATGCAGTAGCCAAGTTGCCTGCTCACAACTTTAATGCCAGCAGCTCACAAAGTAGATTTTTTGCTCACAAGGCTCTACAGCTTAGAGGGAACATTGCTGTCAAGTATGTTAGCAGTACTGTTGAGTGTGCATTTGTGTGTGAGACTGGCCAAAGGTCATTTAGTGAGCTTCATGGCAGAGTGGAGGTTTGAACTTGCATCACCCAGATCCTAGTCTAACACGAAGACTACTTTTCTAGGAGTAAGGCCCAGACCTAATGTTGCCTCTATTCCCCTCCCTACTGAGCAGAGCCATTCACGTCCCGAGCAGAATATAACTGCTGTGATCTTAAAATGGGCAACGGGCAGTGCAAGACCCTGCGTGGCTCCAGATTGCTGCTGAGCGGGGCTTCCTGGGTTCATGAGCAGCATCTCACATGCACAGCTTAGAGGGAATTGCGGGTCTATATGTTTCCACTGCAATCTCCAAAATCACCCAACAGCTTCCAATTGATTATACAGCCTATACCATCAAGACCACATTACAGGCCTGTCATGCCCAGAATTATGGGCACATATCCTACTAGTCTGCTCAGTGAAGTCTGAAATCTTCCTGCAGCCTAAGGGGCCTTTCTGCAACTTGAGTGGCTCTTCTTCTGCTAGCAGGACTTCTGCTTGGTAGAACACATCCCAGATAACTTCCTTGCTTGAAGAACATACCAGACCAGTCTGTTGGTCCATCAAGGTCAATATTGTCTACTCAGACTAGCAACAGGTCTCCGGGATCTTAGGTAGAGGTCTTTCACATTACCTCCTACCTGATCCTTTTAACTGGACATGCCAGGGATAAAACCTATGACCTTCTGCAGGCCAAGCAGATACTCTACCGTTCAGCCACAGCCCCTCCCTGCACATGTCCTCCAGCCTCAGAAACCATGGAGAACAAATGAGATCTATGTAAAGGTAAAGGTAAAGGTTCCCTTGCTCAAAAGCCAGTCGAATCCGACTCTAGGGTTGCGGTGCTCATCTCCGTTTCAAAGCCGAAAAGCCAGCGCTGTCCGAAGACGTTTCCGTGGTCATGTGGCCAGCATGACTAAACACCAAGGCGCACGGAATGCTGTGACCTTCACACCAAAGTGGTACCTATTTATCTACTTGCAATTTCTTGCTTTCGAACTGCTAGGTTGGCAGGAGCTGGAACTAGAGACGGGAGCTCACTCCATTTTGCGGCACCCGGGTCTCGAACTGCTGAACTACTGACCTTCCACAGCCTGCAGTTCAGCGTCTTAACCACTTGAGCCACCGCAGCTATGTAAAAAGAGCTAAAAGAGAAGCTGGTGTGATCAGAGTGCAGGCATAAAGATACAAGCACTCCTGGGAGAATGTCTGTGGGCCAGCCATGGTAGAAACTGCTGCCTTCCAGCCTCCTCTGCAGAATTTCCCCCTAGGTTTTGGGGATACACAGGATGGACAGGTTTCCTACAACAGAACTCAGCACGCTAGAATGTGGGGTTCCTACATACCTGTACTACTGAGTGGCATTAAAAATATATACCCCTTTCTTCCTAATTTCCTTTTGAAATGAAAAAAAAGGAAAATATTTTGCACAAAAACACTATGGTATCAAAAGTGAAATATGAAAAGGTTGCTATTATAAAATGAACATGAAATTTGGGGAGATTTCAAACAGGCAAAATTCCATTCCAGATGTTTTCTTGAAGCAGACGTGTCAGAGCATGGGAGAGTAAAGGTAAATGTTCCCCTTGCTCGAAAGCCAGTCGAATCCGACTCTAGGGTTGCGGTGCTCATCTCTGTTTCAAAGCCGAACAGCCAGCGCTGTCCAAAGACATTTCCGTGGTCATGTGGCCGGCATGACTAAACACCAAGGCACACAGAACGCTGTTCCCTTCCCACTGAAGTGGTACTTATTTATCTACTTGCAATTTCTTGCTTTCGAACTGCTAGGTTGGCAGGAGCTGGAACTAGAGACAGGAGCTCACTCCGTCATGTGGCACCCGGGTCTCGAACTGCTGAACTACCAACCTTCCACAGCCTGCAGTTCAGCGTCTTAACCACTTGAGCCACCGCAGCCTTAAG